CCCCGCTCTTCTGAGGGACCCGAGACTACAGCAAATGACTTTGGGATGGAAAGTGGGGAGCACAATGCTGTGCTCAAACTTTTGTATTGGAGGGCAGGCTCCATACAGAGAACCTGTCACCTCCAAACGCTATTACATAGGGGCTTGTTATACCCTGTGTTATAGCAATAAAGTTAAGTGAAAAAAAGGTGATAAAAATAAAAAAATATACAATAAATACAAATTTAAAAAGTGATGAAAAATAAATAAAAATTCAAAAAATAAGTGATAAAAAAAGTAAAAAATAATAAAATACATCAAAATAAAAAAGTGATACAAAATAAAAAAGATCACGTAAATAAAAATTAAAAAGTGATAAAAAAGTAAAAAATAATAACATAAATAAAAATTGAAACAAAACATTAAAACTAACCCCGACACCCCCACCATCTGCATGCAAACAAATGAACTACGCGTTGTGTGTTTGTGCGCTGAGTGCTGCCCCCATTGCACTGTGTGCCATATTGTGGTAGCCGATCTAACACGCACAATGTGCAATAAAGGGCAATAAAGGGTAAGTTCACTTTCCCAAGTAATTTGGCAAAATTGAATTACCCGCTCAAATCTAGCCCCTTCTCTCTTCCCCTGCTATATTTAATTTTCGCCGAATGGTTCATCCCCTCAACGGGTACGAGTGTACTATCTGTACTGCCGCACTGGGCAGCCCTGTACTATGGATTATAAATTTTGCTCGCAAATTGTAGTGTAGTGGTTAGCACTTCTGCCTTGCAGCACTGGGGGTCCCTGATTCGAATTCCGGCCAGGTCACTATCTGCAAGGAGTTTGCATGTTCTCCCTGTGCTTGTGTGGGTTTCCTCCAGGTACTTCGGTTTCCTCCCACACTCCAAAGACATGCAGGAAGGTTAATTGGCTTCTGTCTAAATTGGCCCCGTGTGTATGCATGTGTGATAGGGTGATATTAGATTGTAAGCTCCTTGAGGGCAGGGACTGATGTGGATGTGCAACTATGTAAAGCGCTGTGTAAAATTGTCGGCGTTATATATAAATACCTGTAATAAATAAATAAATTGTGAGCACTCATTGGTACAAGTAGATTGTCATGAGGGACAAGTAGATTGGGCCCCCACTTTAATCCTTGTACAAGTAGATTTTTTGTTAAAAAATTCCACACCCCTGTTTAGAGGTCCCAGGGATCTGTAGGTTTTTTTTTCTATACACAAGGGGAAAGAGGCTTTTAACTTAGAAAGTATTTGGCCGACATAAGCTAAAGATTCCATTGGGCTTTAATCATATGGCTTATTTTGGTATTCCGGCCTTCCATCTTTAACCCACAAGTCCACCAATGAAGGAGCCCATTCAATTAGTTAGCAGCTGCACCGCAATTACATATATATATTAAACACATGACAGCTGCGTGTATGTGATTGTGGTGCAGCTGTTATCAAATTGAATAGGCTCCTTCATTGGATGATTCATAGGATGAAGACAGAAGGCATTAGCATCATAATCAGCCTTATGATTAAGCACTGATTGGCGTGCAAAATGTCCCGGCGTTAGCTGAGACCCCCTTGTACATGATTTACACAGTATTTCCTTTTTTTCTGACAAAAACAAATGGTTTATTAGTTTAAAAAACAATATTTATGGTAAAAAATTAAATAAGTTACAGGAATACCAAGCCTGTATCACAACCCGTATTACCTTTCACCATCTACTTTACAGCAACAGACATTCTAGGGTACAATGGTTCCAATGTGAATTGTCTTTCCTATATCATACGTAAGACATACATGAGCAGAACGGGGGATACATCCATTGTCCTTCCTATGTCATAAAATCGCTTCACAGTCACAGATAGATATAAAGAAGAACATCCCTCCAGTCTATGGTAGAAGTTCATATGAAGTCCTTTGAATTATTCACTCTGAACATAATAACGTTGCTGTAGAGCTGTGTCCTGGAACAGTGTAATGCTGTGATTTATGCGGCATCTCTCCCAAAGGATTCAGTTTGCTGGTTTTTAACATTTCCATGGCATAGCAAATGTGTATTACTGATCAGGAATGTCCAAGCTGCAAGGTGAACGGGGAGCTCCTGCGATGGCCTCCAGTTCTTGCTGACCTCTGTCTTTCTGATGTCCTCTATATACACTTATCAGAACCCAGACTGTGACTCCTTCTCTTGATCCCTAACAATGCAAATGGCGATAGTTTTAATAAATGTTCAAAAAGGCCATATGCCTTTCGGTTCAGGAAACAAGCAAATGATAGAGCCTGGATTGTAAGGCTGTAAAGGAACTCATATATCATCCTGCGCTGTTCCTGGATGCCAAGAGAGCATTTGTTTTAAAGATAAAAAAGTAGAAAACATGTACTAAATGTTAAAAACCTTATCAGTGTGTGTTAGGGCTCTACTCCAGGCAGAGAGCTAAAAAAAAAAAAGCAGTTGAAATACATGTATGTGATCTTATCTGCCATATGATTTGTATTTCTGCCCTAACACATATGTGATTATACACCTCTACCACCCAACACAGTCAGGAGGGTGACACCACATTTTCTGCTAAAGTTAAAGTGACACTAAAATCAGGACTTCAATCTTAATAATGCATTCAACTACCTTAGCTATTAACAAAAATGTATCTTATTTGTGTATCACTAGGCTGTAGATCCTCAAATCATCTTTGAATTTGTGCTGACACTGTCCTTGCTTCTGGAGGGTGGCTACTTTTGTTCCCCATGGTCCCTGTGTGTGTTGTAAAGTAGTCACTGCTCCAAGCCCGATCCCATGATGGACTCCAATCTCACATTCATTTTATTAATTTGTATTGAGATTGTAGTCCATCACAGGTGCCAGCTTGGAGCGCTGACTACTTTACAACACACAAGGACCATGGGGAACAAACGTAGCCACCCTCCAGAAGGAAGGACAGGATAAGCACCAATTCAGAGATGATATGAGGATCTACAGCCGAGTGATACACAAATAGTTAAGATATCTGAATGTATTTTTATGATTTAACTTTTGAGTTTAGAGTCACTTTACAGAATGTAGTGGTGTCACCTCTATTGAACAATAAAGGAGGAGAAACACAACTATAAGTCATTAACTCTGCTTACTCTACTTTCTCCTCCTGTCTATGTGTTTTATCTTTAAAGTGTATGTAAAGCTAAACCTTTTTTTTTTCCTATTAGTTTTGGATAGAATGATGATCATGGTCTCCAGTGCAGTAAGTGATGGGAGATCTGACAGGTACGGGTTGTCATAGGAACCATCTTCCAAAGATGGTGACAACCGTCTTAGTGAGGATATCTCTTTGTTTCAAAAAGATCTCCTCTCTGGGACATGAAGTTAAAGGAAATCTCCATTACGGGACACGGGACAAAAAAAAGGAACCGAAAAACCGAAGATGCCTTAACCATTACCTATTCTGTCCAAACCTTTGGCTTTACATAGACTATAATGAGGCATTTGGCAGCTTGGTTTTAATAAAACCATTAACACATTGCACTTCAGGCCACAATATTAGAGAGCAGTCTGGTTGTAGTGCCAGTCCAATAACATTATAGCTCTACATGATTTAATTCTGTATGCTGCAATATGATCCCAGAGTGCTTTACATGGTATAGCTATTATTATTGTTAGCACAGGCCTTTATACCATTACAGGTGCCACTCCTATGGGTAGGATGAGTGAATGTGGGTGTAAGTTCAGAGATTTCCAATACACCATGACTCACATATTACACAATTTCACTTTCCTTAGAACAATTTAAAGTGGATCTAGAGCCAGTTTTGGATAGAGTACAGAGAGGGACTTGAACTAGGGATGCACCGATACCAAGTACCGTACTCGGTACAAGTATAAGTACAAGTACATGTGCAGATACTTTTCCAGCTCTAGGACTAGACTAGAGAAAAATTCAAAAGTTAGGAGGCAGCTGTCATTTGTAAGGCGCACACGGAGCTCCTGGGATTTGTACATCTCTGTTTTAATGTATGATTTTGTTTTTATAAAACTTATATTAGGGATGCACCGATACCATTTTTGCAAGTACAAGTACTGATATTTGCCCAAGTACTCACAGATACAAGTACTGATACATTTTTGTTTATTGTCATGTGACAGTTTTTCTAAAACAATATCGACTAATGATTTCAGGACAGTGGTGGAGCGCCAGCGCTAGGTCCCAGCTGCAACCGCTGCAACCCTGGTAGTTCTCATGAAAATGCCAAGTATCGGCACTGTTATCTGAACTGGTATCGGTGCATCCCTAGCTTGAACCTTGTCAGGTTGTTACTGGTGTCCCCACTAAGGAGATGCACCCCTCTATTTGTCCTGGTGATCATTGTCATCAGAACTGAAAGTAGGAAAAAATCAAAAACTTTGTGTTGTCTTCAGGACAGTAATAGTGGGGAAATCTTCTGATGGGGACACTTCTTTCATTGTCAAATGTTAAAGAGAGGGTTTACCTCGCTGGAGAGATTTCCTACCACTTTCAATTGCATGTAGAGGACAGGAAGTGAATGGAATCTTATGAATGGGAAACTAATGACAAAAAAAACCTGAAGGGTTTTAACCATTCCCTACTGTATGCAAAATGAAAAAAAAAGGTTTAGCTTTAGTTAAGTAACCTAGTGCTGAGGAAACATTAACTTCAAAAATCCAATACAGTGACAAAGCGTATACAAACTATGATTGGGTAGTACAAAGTTCCATTCATCTATCCACCATCAATCAGCAATCCATGAATAAGTCACTCATCTATTACAGCTAGAAAGAGAAAGTGTAAAATGTTGGCTTCTAGTAAGTGTATATAGATAGGGCAGTTTGCAGAGAACATTGAGGTCACAGTGGTAAATTTTGGACTAGAGGAGGGGCCAGCCTCATTCCCTTTATTGGAATTCTCAGTCTGGTTTAGTGCCCCTAAACCTTGATATTTCTCACCATCCCTTATGTCACCCACAGCCTTGTTCCTAAAGTTCTTCCCACTGGTAGGTTCATTTATAGAGGACCAGACATCATGACTCTTAGTGACAGTCTCCATCTTCTTTGGATGAACAAATTTCCTATATACAGGTCACAGTATTGAGTCTGAGGTAGGGAGAGTAACAGATCCATATCTCTTTACAGAGGTGGACTGACGGAAGTTGGTCTGGGTGATACAATTCTGTGTTGTGGTGGTGTGACAGTATTCTCTCGACTTTCTCCCTTGAACCTTTCGTTTTGAGCTCGTGGAGACGAAGACTTTCCCCGGAGGATATCTGCAATCTGACAGACAATACAACAATAGATTTTTTTAATTAGACAATAACAAGTTCTTTTGATAACTGTAGAAGATATAACAATATTCAACAAAAAGCAAGAGTGATAAAGCCCCAGATCCAAGCGTTGACAATATTATTGTCAGTATTTGGATGGAGCTCATGATAAAGATAGACTGAGCTCCGTCAAAACATTGACAATAAAATGAAGATGCTTTGACTTATCTCATCTGCAAGACCCATGGGTGCCTCTATAGCTACCTTGAATTGCTATGGATATTTCTGTGGCTGAGATCCCGGGCATTTACTTAACAAATGGAGTGTGGTGGCTACCCCCGGGAATATATACAGTGTAAGGATAATTTATGATAGCGTATGCTTAATGCCCAGAATCCGGTGCTTTATCACAAAAAAATACTCCAGAGGGTGACAATAATGGCGCACATGATATGGATTGCTGTCAATAAGGGGTATGTGGTCTGGCTAGAAAAAGTGCTGCTGGGATCCATTGCCATCACTTTATTCTTGCCAGGAAAGGCAAAGGTGTTCCTTTTTAAATCGAAACTTGAACATGCAGTTGATTTAGGTGAAATACAAATACCCTTTACATGACTTTGTCACGCTACAAAAAAAAAAAAGCCATGTTGCAAAGAAAAGGACTTATACTTACCCCTCCCACTCCCAAACTGTCAGTCTGGGGATTGATTTAAGGCAAATAGGCTGTTCACTTTGCAAGTGAATTCTCTATGAGCTTAGTGAATCATGTGCAAGCAAAAATATTGTGTTTTTATTTCCTTTTATATGATTGGTATCCTTTGCAAAGTGAAATTTCACCACATTCGCAAAGCTAATGGAAAATTCCCTTGCAAAGTGAAAATACCCTTTCAAAATAAACAGCCTATTTGCTTTCAATAAATGAACCTTAATGTCTCAATCTTCAAGAAGTGTTGAATACCTGATCCCCCTTTGTGCACTGTGGTTCATTTTGCTGGCTTCTACATCCCTATAGGACACAATGTTGGCTTTGAGGCCAATAGAATGAAACACAATGGGCAGCAAAGAACCAGGTATCAGGCATACCGAGAAGTGTATCGGATGCAGAGGATACTTTTTAGCCAAAGCAGCACTTGAAGACAGCAGAGATGGGTGGTATGAGTAGCAGGAGGGGGGAAATCAGTAATTTTCTTTGCAGCATAGCCATTGTAAAACCTTGTTCAACTAGCGGCAGAGCCACTTCGAAAGGCCCAATTCCATCCCGATCCCCAAAGACTTTCAGATAGCTTACAGGATCAACATCCAATTGCATTTATTATACATAATAATGGAATAGAAGCACATCCAGCCCTTTTATGAAACAATCTACTTTGTTGGCTGGACTAAGACTATTCCAAAGGTATTTATACACATAACATGACAACTTTAATAATCAACTTTTGCCGAGCCGGATGGTTCTGGCAAGCTTGACAACAAAAAGTGGATCTCTTAAATTCTGAATCTGTGACTGTGTATTGCCAGTTACAAGTGGTCACAAGTTACACTTTTAGGGCTGTTACAGTGACATAGTGCAAAGATGTCATAAATGCCATGCCAACCAATCAGATTTCACTTTGTTGTTGTCAGATCAGGTATGAGAGGATTTCTGATTGCTTGCCATAGGTCATGACCACAAAACACATATAGGGGAGAGAACATAATTGTCACAAGACTACAGCTTGTACATTTCACATTATGTACTCTTCATGATACCACTGGCAACGAGTCATTTTGGTATTTAAACTAACTATTTCCTTATACTTACATGACTTATGTAATAACAACAAGCTAAAAATACTGTCATATATAAAGGGACACTTCAAGGAAGCTGTGTGCATTTTTTTTCAATCCTTACCTACACGAGCACCAATAAATACTGCATAGAATGTGTACAAGTGTAGATTGTGGCAGTGTTGAAAGGTTGTATTTGTGGCCATTGTCATTGGGACAAATCTTTCAATGAGGACACATTCTAGAGGCAAGTGGGTATAGAGTGGTGAGGGGTTAGACCGTCCATTAGGGTCTTATTTCTGGCTGTGCCCCCAATAGGGTTACCATTGTCACTAGGACTGAGGGGAAGGGAGGGCAAATCTTAAATGTTGAGTTGTCACCTGAAAAGAAAGAACGGGGAAAACTTCCAAAGAGGACACTTGCTCTGGTGACAACTATTTAAAAAGGGATTTCCCCTTATATTGGAGACGTTTTCTCTTACTTTCTGTTGTGTTTCTAGAACAGGCAGTATGTCTCCATAATGACCCTGACAGCACAAAAAAAAAAAAAATGTTAAGTGACCTTACCCTTCCTCACTCCAGTCCACAACAAACAATAATGTTTAGCCTTTAGAGTCACTTTATGTAACGTACCTCGGCTCCGTGCCACGTCACGTTTGCGTTCCAGCGTGGAACACACCAGACAGGGAAGGCGCCGAGGGTTCCCTCCCCCATTAGGGGAGGTACTATGCGCTCCACGCTGGAACGCGGAAGTGCGCCGCGGACGCATGACGTCACGGCCGCGGCCTATTTAAACTGTCTACGAACGCTGCAGTGTCTTCACTATTGGGTTCGCAAGCCCAAAACCAACTCCAGGACCTCTTTGCTCCCAGGAAGCCTGCCTCCACTTACTCCAAGAGGACGAGCCCAGCACCCAGCACCCAGCACCCTGCAGACCAGTGCATAAAAGCGCAAGTATTTCTCAGTGCTCTCTGAGCCATCATATGGGACTTAGAGTTCGTCCTCTACTAGATTGGGAGTTGTGCATAACTTATGGACTGCCTATGTTATACTGCCTAGGGATCTGCATATGTAATATCTAGCCCGCTTAAACTTAGAGGTACTGTGAGATCCATAACCTGCGCTACATATCAAATATATATATATCCCGGTCTGAAGTTATATTGCGGTGACTAATTGCTCATTGGAACTAGGTACATTCCTTATACTTAGGAACCATCTGGCTTCCGTGGGGTTACGATCTAGTACCACCCACGCTACCTCTTTTTGAGTTCTTTAGTTAAACCGGCAGATGATGCAAGAACCCCAAACTCTCTGTCTTTGCAAGAGAGTGACGCCTGGGGTTCATTGACTGAGTGCCACCCATTAGTCACACCTCTATCCCTTGAATCCGCAGTTGCGATCCAGACCAAGCTACTTGGAACCAGAGCATTTGTTTAAAGAGCATTTGTCAAAGGAAAATACCAGTGTGGGAAATACAAGATGAAAGCTGACATGCTGACTCTTAGGTTGAATACTAGATCCAGGGCAGTACATTAGACCTTGCTCAGCTTCGGGGCAGCAAGGGTGTGGAATTCCTATCTCCCGATGCCCGGGACTTGCAGTTCTGGGCGTCGGACGGGTACTTGTTGTCTACATTTAGCCTGCTTTGGGCAAGCAGAGCTAAATGTACAGCGGGGAAGCCACTGATTGTTTTGTATGTAG